GGGCCCAGCAAGGACATCAGCTTGTTAAGCCCGTCCTGCATGCCCTGGGGCAAAGAGGTAAATTCCTCCATCCTCACTGAGGATCAGTCTAAACGACTCAGGTGTTGATTGACTACAAATGCTACCAAGTGCAGCGGGACTGCCGTAGCTTTGCGCTTTGAGGAAGCGTAAGATAGGTCGCCGACCTCTTGTTCTATTCTTAGAACAAGTTCGAGTGTAGCGGATCGCAATCCGCTACCTCCAAGAGTGGTAAGAACTTTAACACAAGACTAATAAACTCTTTTGTTTAAAATGTAAACTTTATTTATTTGTTTTTATCTGTTGAAAAAGCCGCCTAAATTTAAATGTTCAGATTTTCCTAAATGTGTATAGTAACATCTAAACTCATGTATAACTACCCGCTGTCCAGCCCCATACCGTATTCTTGTTTGGGTTTGGCTACACCATGCCCATCTGGTGTGACATACTCCAATGTTACCATGGCATGTGTAACACCGTTACACGGGCGATACCTAAAGTAATGGGCCACATGCAAGTAGAAGGCATACAAGTTTAAAGAGACAACTAAGAAGCGACCGCTTTAGCCAGTAACGCCGGATATCACATTCGGATGATACAAGGACATTAGGCACCATCTCATCCGCGATAATATCCACAAGAATATCTTGAAAATTGACTATTGCGACCCGGAACGTCAGCTTGCAGATATGCTGGCAAAGGCACTCGATACAAATGTTTGCATAAATTTGCAAGGCAGCGGGTATCAAGATCAAGCCAGTGCAAAGGATCAACAAACATCAACGGCGAGTGGAGTTGTTGAGATGAAGCTGCCGAATACTGTAGAAAAACGAAATATGTCTATTTTACGTGCATATAATACACATGTGTTCGTTAGTCTACTGGCTCCACTTTCATAAGTGAGGGTTCAAAAGCGTTCAAGTACAAAGTTTGATTGAATAGAGTGTAGGAAGGTCCAAGGTCTTTTTATGGTATACAGACCAGATCGAATATCATTCCGGCAGAGTCCTTTGATTTTGATATGGTAATGCTAGGACGAAAAAGACTAAAGAACATGACTAACTTTTAAATCTTACCATCAAATCCACACGATGGCTTTTACACAATTCAAGTTTGTGCTAGACTAGTCTCGAGCTTGATAAATACGCTAGGATGCGCTAGGAAACTTACAGAAAGAATCCAGCGGTCTGATACTAGACTACATAGGATCGTCTGGTAGAAAAAAATGGCATTACTTTTGATGATTTAAAATATAGAAGCACAAGAAAGTACATGGTAATCAAGGTCCTTGAGGTGAACCTAACACTAAAAAAAGGGACTGGCTCAACTAATAGATCTTGCGCCTCGAATTTTCGAGCTTTGTCAAATCTTTAGAACTTGTCGCCGCGGAAGCTAGTACACTTGCATGCAGGATCACTTATAGTCCAGGAAGGCGCTAACAATATTGCTTTCTAATGCAAAAATCCACAGCAACGTAACCTGTAGTAAAATGACCACACATTTGTAAGAGGCCTACCAGATACAAAAGATTTACATTCTCATACAATCATTATAAACGAAGGCTAGAGCTTCCGTAACCATTTTCCTCTACTAAAACGAATGAATCACGTAGAATCATAAAGGCAATATCCATTTCTTCATTTGCAGCCTCTCATCATATCAATAAAAAGAATTTCAGCGTTTCTTCAATATTTCTCAACAATAAAGTTTGAGCTTCTCAGCATCATAAAAAGTTTGACAAGAGAAAGCAGACCTCAATGAAAGCTGGTCAAATTGTAGCACATACAGTTGCCTGATTTGTTTGAAGTGCATGCTGATGACGCGTCACTTATTGAAGTAAAGCTTTAAGAACATTAACACGACTCTAAGAATTTGCGGTTGAAGACTTTCACAAGATTCTGACTGATAGGTCATAAGCCTTTCTTCCTTAGCCACGTCATACATCAAAACGAGCCAAAAGAAGGGATTTTTGGATCGGCATATAACCATCAAACCTCTTCTTCGTTGAGAAATACATTTCATATGCCAATTAAGCAGTAGTCGGAGTTCTTTCTTTGCGACCGAATCATTTTGCTAAAGCTGATACCCCAATAAATTGTCAGCTTTTAAAAGTCAATCTGTACATCTAACTGATGTCGAATCCGGCTTGATGCTCGGTCGAGGATTCGGTATTATCAAAGTATTCGCATGCGTTTCGCTTTCTTTCTACTCGCTGCTTTTGCGGCCACGCTTACGTTAAGTCTCGCTGCATTTAATGCTAATGACATCAAGCCAAAGAATGCCTTAGACACCGACACTACGACTATCGAACATGATGACGAGACTTTGTATCGACGCAAGAATGAAGGAGTGGTTGGGGAAGAACGAGTGCTTGGGTTGGAAAAGATCAAGAGTTTCTTAAGCACGAAAGTGATGTCATTAATCAGCCGTTTACGAGCATGGTTCAGCCGTATCTTTCGCTTTGGAAAAACAGTCTCAGGGACAAGTTTAGAATCGCTTTCAACCTCTTCACGCACTCCAAAGATTTCTTGTCGCTGATGTGAGTGTGAGCAACAAGCTGTCGCAAGTGCAAGACCCGTCAAGGATCTCGATGATATCCACCTCAAGCTTAAACGGTGGCAATTTACCATCCGGACTTGGTACGAAGAAACCGATAGAAGTATTAGCACACGCGCATAACGTGGACACATCATCACAACTTGCTCAAAAGTTCTTAAACCAATTGAGTCATTGGAATCCACGTCAGGCTTAAACAATCTACATACGTCACAGAAGAGGCAATTCGAACCGCAAGTGGATATAAAAGCCCCGCAAAATCACGAGCATTCAGAATTGCAAAAACCAATAAAATAGCCATTGAGATCGAAGGAAATCGATGCACCTGTGAAGATAAATGCCAAGCAAAATTTCGAGCATTCGCTTCTGCTAAAAGAATCACTAGAGTCGAAGGTAATGAATAAATTCGTGGAGACAGAAGACCCGCCATATCTCGAGCATTCGCCAACGCTAAAAGGACCACTCAAGTCGAACGAATTTACTGAACCTGTGAAGATAAATGCCAAGCAAAATTTCGAGCATTCGCTAACGCTAAAAGAACCACCCAAGTCAAAGGTTACAAATGAATTCGTGGAGACAGAAGACCTGCCAAATCTCGAGCATTCGCCACCGCTAAAAGAGCCACTGAATTCGGAAGAAATTAACAAACAAGTACAGTTGAGATCCCCGCAAACCTCTAGCCAGTCGTTTAAATCAGGCGAAGAATCAAAGCATCTG